ATATATATATATATATATATATATATATATATATATGGTATTATCCAGCATACATCACTATTGAAACATTAATTAAGATTATAAAAGTTGGGTTTTCTAATGAGAATAAAGCAAAGGTGAAGTATTTATAAAATACTAATCGGTATAAATCGTAATCAGTCTGGCAAGAAAAAATTGTGACTAGCAAGATATGTAAAAAGTCACAATAGTGAAGTTATAAATATGTTATTACGCGATGGAAATAGAGATTACACCTTACAATGAAGTAAAGCTTAGGTATGTGCGTACTGTGACGTTTCTTAAGCATGCGCGCTTAAGGAGGAACTGCACGGATCAGCTACATCAAAAGTTATATAATAAATTTAATACATTTCGAGATTCATGAATTTAACATTACGCAAAGTAGGTACCACATTCTATCCTCTCTTATAAAGTAAAGATTTGCTCTTTACAATTCTTTTTTATTTTCATAAATTTTTGTGTATAGTCGTTATAAAATGTTCGTAATATACTATAAAAAAGTTAGTTTGATATAAAATAATATTTACGATTTTGAGATTAAATTATATTTTACAGGGCAAATCTTTACTTTTTAATTCATAAATTAATTATTAACCTTATATTTTAAAAGGCTAAAAGTGTGCTTTTTGGCAAATTCATGAATATCTCAAAATGTATTAGATTTATTAACTTTCGACGTAGCTGATCTGCACAATCTCTCCTTAAGAATTATAGCTTAAACATACTATGTATGCAAATAGCAATTAGATCATTATTTGCATATAGCATATTATGCATATGAAATCAGTTTCTATCATGTATCTCATTGTAATAAAAAGTCAATTTACGATGCAGTATTTTTCAAATGCGTAGGGACGTTTGCAAGGAAAATTCAAATAAGATATAGTATATTGTAGTGTGTGAGTAATTACATACATTGTGGATTTGAGTAGCGCAAAGCGAAAACAAGACTTGAGAATTACAGATCAAGAACGCAGTATCACTCTGCAATCGAGTCTTGAAGCGAAAAGAAGTGGAGACGATTATATAATTCTTTGCTTCTTAAAAAAATTTTTAAAAAAAATTCTTTTTTTTTTAGAAAAACATCTATTCTCTTATTCTCTCTTTTTCTCGCTTATCTTATTGTATTTAATTATACTACATTTGTAATTATAAAGCATGATAAATTGTAATATATAATTAGTGATGATCTAGTGATATCTGCTAAAAGTGTTACAAATATCTTGGTGAAACATCATTCCTTTTTAATATCAAGTGCTCCGACATAACGGATAGTAAGTATCGAAATCTTGCAATTTTTTCAGCATCATGTAGTTAAAATTCTAGGTATCATATTTTATTTTTTTCCAGATACAAAGTAATTCGCGCAAAGTTAAAATATGATGTAATCAAAAACTTATTAAACAAAGTAATATGGGCGAGTATTTTATAATGAAACACCAAATTTATTTCTGTTCATTATCTCGATTTTTTAAACCGTATTATATAAAATTATGGCAAGTAATTCTTCGCGAAATTCGGCTATATATATTTCAATTAAACAGTGATGATAGAGCGCTTACATTACTGTGCAAATGTACGTTTGATCAAAGATTAGAAGTTCAATATTGATTTAATATTTTATAAACGCCCATATGTATCACATCTTCAAATTTCTGTTAAAATGAGAATAATTAGACATTTGAAATAATAAATTCTTTTAAAGATTCCAATGAAAAAAAACGGTAGAAAAATGGAATATAGAAAATTTATTACGGTTTTCATGAATCCATAGATTAATAAGCGAAGATTTCACATTTGAATGAGTTACATAGAAATAATCGAGATATATTTTGCCAAAGAAATATTTTCAATCACATTAATCTTATATTTGATTTTGATCGATGATATACAAGGTGTCCTAGACCACCCGTACATCCCTTTTCTTTCAAAAATTAAGCATTTTAGAGAAAAACTTTTTGAACAAAAATTGTATGGTTTTGAGGGGAACATAAGATGGTGTCATTGGTTTGACCTTGGATGGCATCGTTAAGGTCAAGTCAAGGACACCATCTTATGTTCCCCTCAAAACCATACAATTTTTGTTCAAAACGTTTTTCTCTAAAATGCTTAGTTTTTGAAAGAAAAGGGGTATACGAGTGGTCTAGGACACCCTGTATATTTATATATCCATCATATCTATTTACATTAATAAAGTGTCTTTATAAAATTTTATCGATTAATAGAGCTAATAACGATATAAACATCGTATGAATGAAATCTTTATCAATCTCTGTGTGTGTGTGTGTGTGTGTATGTGTGTGTGTGTGTGTGTGTGTGTGTGTGTGTGTGTGTAAAATTCCAATGTAATTCTAATTTAAAAAGTAACTATAGTAATTTATGCATTTACATATTTGATAACTTACAAGCTGTTTAATATGTTTACAGGTTATAAAAATGGAGTTGATCTCTTTGATACTGTGCGCCTTGTTCGTTGTTTTAATAATCTCAATTATATCGACAGTATATCATCATTACATTCTTCGACGAAAGCTCAAAAATATTCCTCAAATCGGTAGATTTCCTTTTGGCGTGGCATTTGAATTAATGAAGCTGTCCGACTATGGTGAAGAACTTTATAAATAAGATATTGTCATGATATGCTTTTACAAATATTATTTATATATTTTTAGCAAAGATCTTAAAACAAGGAATTCGTCGTTTATTTTAAATCAGTATAATAATTAGTAAATGTTGAATATCTGATTATGTACTTATCCACAGAACGCGTACTATGGTTTGCGCAACGTATGGTTGATTTTAAAGATGGAATTTTCATATATTGGATTGGCTTGAAACCACTTATTAGTATTTATAAACCTGAAATTTTAGAGGTAAGAATAAATAGGACTCGGTATTTATTATATTTGCATAATGAAAAAAATTGTTTTGTCTCTCGATCGAGACAGTTCACGGTAAAACTGTACTTTCCAAGTTAATTTAGCGATCTAGTCAATTATCGGTTTCATGTTTAGAATATTAAATAGGATGTTTTTTTCCTAATGATACACCAGAAAAAATGTAATTAACGATACATGAAAAAGTAAGTCGTAAAAATTGAATAAAATTGTTGCATATGAGGCTCTGTTCTTGAAAAAATTAAAAATTTGAAAAAAGATATCTTTTTTAATATAAATGTGATAAATTATTATTCGCATGGTTATATTGTTTTTAAACACATTTTTACAGATTATTTTACCTAGCACCGTAAATATCGAGAAAGGATTTCCTTATTATATGATGGAATCTTGGTTAGGCAAAGGACTTCTAACTTCTACAGGTAAACGCATAAACTCATTTACGTCTAATTTTAATATCTCATTGAAGATAAAAAGTAAATTGCAGCTTACATTAGATTATGCGTTTTTGTTATATGGTTATTGGCAAAAGAATTTTGGACAAATCACGAAAAACAAGGAATAGTAAAATTTCACTCTAATACAAATATGCAAATTTGTATACCTATATTTATACTCTGACAAAAAAAAGATATTCTTATTTATTAAATATTTACTTATGTAAATATTATATATTTGTAATAATAATATTTTACTTATGTAAATATGATTTTACATTAATGTTAATTATTCATGTAAACTGGCGCGCCTTAAAACGTTATTCAGTTTTATGTGGAATTTTTTTTATTTACATGAGCTGTTCGGAAATCATCTAGTATCAAGTCACTTAGTTGTAGTACTTAGTCAACGAGTAATCTCCGGTAGGTTTGCAAAATAAAATAAGAAACAGGAAAAATATTTATTATACATAAAAGTTACTTACATATATACACTATTTTTGGACATAATCGTCATTCGAATTGAGGCACTTGTCGTGATAGAAGGTTTTGTATGTCCTCATCAAAGTACAGTGTTGCTAAACTGGAATCTCAATCAACTTCTAACAAAACAAGAAATAAAGCCACACTTTCGTGCATGTAAACAGATAAAAGTCATTCGGTGCAAAATCCAGACTACACGGTAGTCAGGAAACTTCCATCGGAATTTTTGGATGTACAATAGGAGTTCGATCACCCACCTTATGGCCCGGAGTTTGCACCAAAAAATTTTTAGCTATTCACACGCATAAAAGTGTGACTAAGGACACAGCGATTCGAAGGCAATGAGGAGCTGTTGAGCAATGCTAGAAGTTGGCTAATTGTAAGATTCCAGTTTGGCGGCGTACTTTGATGCGTATACAAAACCTTGTATTATGCAATAACAAGTGTCTCAATTCGTATGGCAATGATGTCGAAAAATAGTGTATATATGTTAGTAACTCTCTCTTTTGTATATAATAAAATATATTTCCTGTTTTATTTTGCAAGCCTACCGGAGGTGGACGGTGGACTTCCAAATAATCCTCGTACATTGCAAACATTCAGTGGCGACATGCAAGAAAAACAGAACTAAAATGCGATAAAAACTGTATAATAATATGTGCTTTTTGTTTATATTTATATAAATTATCTGTGCGCATTTATATGTATTCTTTATCTCTTTTACGATATTTTTAATAAGTAAATATATTGCTGATTGTGTGGTATTGCTTCAGGAAAACAATGGAACCATGATAGAAAACTTATTACACCGACGTTCCATTTTAGTATATTGGACCAATTTGCTGTGATTATGTCTGAAAAAGCAGAGATCTTGACAAAATATCTCGAGAGGGAAATAGCAAAGAATCCAGAGAAAGCCATCAATATTTTTCCGTTTGCTAACAATGTTGCTCTCGACGTTATATGTGGTACTAAATAAATAAATCCCTTTCTTTCGTATAATCACGGATTACAATACTAGTATAATTTCAATGAGCTCGATTTTTGACATTGCATATGTAAATCAATGCAAAAAATCGAATTTTACGTCACATTTAATTTAATTGTGAATAAATAATGTCTTACTCTCGTAGATATTTAAATATAAAAAAAATTTTATATCGGTATTAATTTTTGTATATAACAAAATTAATTTGAAAGTCATAAGTATCAATTTTATTTCTTTTATGTAATTTATAAGCAATAAAATGTAGCATACTTTCATGAGGGAATTATGACGATACTAAGTCATTATTTTGCATAGAAACGGCGATGGGTGTGGATGTACATGCTCAAGAAAGTGAAACCAAGTATACCACAACAATACATAGGTACGAAAAATTATGAATTACATTATTTTATTAGTAATAAAATAATTAATAACAGTAATAATTTATTAACAAGATTTTTTAAGAATTAATATAGCAAATTTTGTATGATTATAAATATACATGTATATGTATAATTAATATATAATAGCATAAATATACTGTCATATCGGTTTACCGTTTTAATCGTACTTTTAGAACATCTAAATTAATATTTGATCGATTTATTCAACCGTGGTACTGGTCGGATTGGTTGTACGACATAATGCCTTCGGGAAAGGAACATAAATCATTGGTTAATATAATACATACGTTTACGAAAGAGGTATGCATACAAAAATCCTAATATAATACATTATGTATTAAGATATCGGCAGAATTTTATTAAATTAATTATTTACATTGTTTTTTGTTGGGGTGAATTCAACAAGCTTACAACAAATAAATGATAAATTTCAGGTGATACGTAAGAAGAAGATCGCACGACAATCGGGAAACAGGTCTACCAAATCGGAAAACGAGGATGACGAACTTGATATAGGTATGATTATTAAATTATTATATTATCGTTATACATATGCTTTGATGGCTTGTGTAAAAATTTTTAAAATTATTTTCATGAAATTTATTTCGATAGGTAAGCGAAGGAGGAAAGCTTTTCTGGATCTGTTACTAGATCAGAATGAGAAGGACGAAACTCCGTTAACTGATGATGAATTGAGGGCACAAGTCGACACATTTATGTTCGAGGTGAGAGAAAAATCTTTGAAGTTTAACATAAACTTTCTTCTTATCAGACTCGGTAATGTTATTATAACTGAGTGTTATAAAATTGTAAGGATATACATATAATGATACAGGGTCACGACACAACTGCGGTTGCGATAACTTGGACGCTCTTCAATAATCTCGAACATCAAGAAAAAGTTCATGAAGAACTCGAGGAAGTTTTCAAAGATTCAAAGACACCAGCCAGCGTAAAGGAACTGTCGCAGTTGAAGTATCTTGAGAGGATCATAAAAGAAACGCTCAGAATATTCCCAAGTGTACCCATAATCACAAGGAAATTAGTAGAAGATGTAAAAATAGGTATGACAGAATTTTTAAAACCAAAATAAAAAAATCTTAATACATTCACATGTATCTGTAAATTTGAAAATATTCTCAATGAAACGGTAATATTTTTACTTAAATGATGAAAAGAATGTGTTTCTGTTCAGAGAGATATCTTTTTCTTATTTATTAAAAGCTAAATGAAAACGATTTGGCAAAAGACCAATACTTTAAAATCCATTTTAGATAGTCTCCAATTTATGATAAAATCTAAGATAAAATTTTATTTATCATTTTATTTATCAGTTAATTCTATTTATTATTTTATTATGCCCCGTATAAGTGTGGATTCTTCAAATGTTTCTATTACAATAGAATTTTGTCACGAATTATCATATAGAGATGGTCTAATGTCGGTTTGAAATTATTGTGAGTTTTGCAAAAGTCTTAGACTACAAGAGAGAAACATTTATAAATTTTAGAGTAGAACATTTATGTTAAAAAAGTTTATCTATATAAAATTTTATGTGCATGTGTGACAGAATACAATCTATTTTATACAATCTGTTTTATTTTAGGTGATTATACACTCCCGAAAGATGCTACAGTCATGTTGGAAATCGCATTAACGCATTTAAATCCAGAAGTTTGGTCTGATCCAAATAAGTTTGATCCAGATCGCTTTCTTCCGGATAATTCGAAACATAGGAATCCATATGCCTACATTCCATTCAGCGCTGGACCAAGAAACTGTATCGGTCAGAGATTTGCTTTACTCGAAGAGAAAGCGATATTAACAGCTATTTTGAGAAAATGGAAAGTTAAAAGTGTAAAAACAACTGATACAGTTCAATATGGGCTCACTCTCATTTACCGACCGTGCGAAGAGATATTCATCCATTTCACGCCAAAGAAATAATCAACTTATCATACCATGTACTCTATACACTTTTATATATACCTTGAAATATATGGTGATGGTTTCGATAGGGTTCCCGTCGTACGGAGAATGATATGATGTAACGGATTGTAAATACCGAAATTGTGATATAATAATGAACTTTTATATAAACTTACGTTGAGGATGAATACTTTATGTGATATTTATTGTAATTTTTCGCGAGATATTTACTTTGAAACAGTGGCAAACGCGAAAATTACAGAGCCATTTGAATTTCGCGATTCATCGCGGTGCATTTCGACAATAATCGCAGAATATGAAATTGAAGACTTAAATGTCTCGATAATTTTAAATCCGTTTTAACCCAATATAAGACTATACATTAAAAACGGAGATTGCATATATGAAGCATGTAAATGCAAAATGATGTAATATAAACATTTTGATAAAGTTGCGAAAATGTTTTGTTAAATAACGTGAGAATATGTCATTATTGGATTTTAATTCTTTAAAATATTTATTTATATGTACATATA